AGACAGAGCTTCGGGGAAAGAATAAATGAGTCTTTGCAGAAGACCTGGAGGAACAAGGAGAGGGTGGGCCCAGAATTCGGCCCCCGAGTGGAGGCGGGGAGGTGCTCTGCAGCCTAGCGCGTTTCTGAAGGCAGGTGTGCCCTTGCTGCAGCACTTCAGAGCATCGGTCAAAGCAAGTATGCAAACCTGACAGGCGATGGATCATTCAAGAGAAGGCTGGACAGCTTGCTACCAGCCCCCTGCAATGCCAGGCTAACCTGGGGGCTGATGCTTTAGATAAGCCCTTATGCCTTTGTGGGGATTTCTGCAGGACAAACATCTTCACCAGCCTTGTGACCAGCGTTCCAGGTCAAGCATTGTGAGGGCCCCAGTGTTCAACCCCGGGCAGCTGACAGCCGCCTTAGGCAGCCAGTCTAAGAGCTCAGCACATCCTAAGTGCAGTTTCAAGGCACTGCAGAGAAATGTTCTGGCTCGGCCGGAATAGAAAGCAATTCTTGAAAGTGCTCTTTGTTCCCCTGAAAAAATCCAGGCTCGCATTCAGACTCCTGCTTGGGGTTTCAGTCAAAGAAGTTAGGACCAAAGTGTCAGAATTCAGAGTGAAAGCTGGAAAGTTGGACTATTTCCTTGTGTCAGAGAAAGCATGGGGAAAGAAAAAAATACACCCTGCTTAAAAACTTCATGTATGTTTGCAAACCCACAAGCCATTAAACACAGAAAAAGCCATTCGTTCTGTAGGACCCACAAAAATGTCGTGCTCTCCCCCTGCTGACTCTGCAGTTCACCCAAAACCTTATTCCCAGACCAGCACTGTCGTGACTGGTAATGCTGGGGCAGAGGCCCACTAAAAGGCATTGGATTAAGTTATTGTTAGAAAAAAACAAAACATGTTCATTTCAGCCCCACAAAAGCCCAGTATTTGCAGAAGCAGAGAGATCAAGCCCAGCAAAGAGCCACTTTGTTTAAGTCCCCGAGAAGGCCAATTCAACCTGGAGCAAAAGCAAAAGCTAAACTTCTAATAGCCTCTGAACGACCCCAATTTTTAAAAAATCGATTCCTGAAGCAACACCTCTATGTGTGTGTTCCTTTTTATTATTATTTTTTTGGTTGAAACCAGAAAGCTGAGGGTCAGCAGCAAGAACCACATCACTGAGAAACCATGTTTATTTTACCCAGCCCAGGCAGGTTGGGATGTAAGGCCCGTTAAGGTTTTACAGGCTGCCTGGATTTCCTATTCTGCAGATACAGAACACCAGAAGGCGGACTGGAAGCAGCATTTCATGCACCAAATGAATGCCTCGCCTGCTCCCAGAGGGACAAAAAGAGCCGGTGTTCCAGCACGGGGCAGGCCATGCACTGGGCCAGCAACTCCTCTGCTGCTGCCTGCACGCCCGTAAGCGATGCTGCTCAGAGCAGCTGACCAGAATAGCTCCCACCTGTACTGGGCAGACTGGAGGGGGAGGCTAGAGGAGGTGCTGAGCAGTTTCTCTGCTGCAGCCAAATTAACTACGTTCCCAGGCTCTGCAGAGGGCTTAGGGGGATGTCAAGCAGCATTAGCACTGACCTGTGAACAAAGTGCATTCTTGTGGATCTTCTTGTAAATAAGAGCTGGGCAGATAAAACAAATGAGGCTTCCCATCGTAGCACCTGTCAGGCCCAGGACTGTTTCCACTGGCAAAGAAGAAGAGGAGAAGTCAAAGTCCCTGTCCAAGACTGCCAGAGCAGCAGCACGTGGCGGCTGCCTGAGCCCCTGGGCAGGCTGGTGCGCAAGCCCAGCGAGCCTGGACATCCCACCCAGAAAAGCAAATAGAAGAGACCAGAATAAATAGCCAAGCAACCAGCCCTTGCCTCCAACTCCTCACTCACCGTTCGGGATCATGATGCCTCCTACCATGGTTCCAAACACAACAGCCAGCGTTAGGGCTTTGAACCGAAGCGGCGGCATGTAACCCCCAGCAGCGAAGGTGCCGTCTTTTTGCTGGAAGAGAGAGGGTGGGAGGGGGAGAATGAGTTTAGCGCCTGCATCACAACCCCACAGTTCCTGAGCGATTACCCCAGCAGGCTCCAGCAGCTTCATCGTCTCCATGCTACGCGGGGTGTTAGACATGGTTGAGCAGTTTTGATACGCAACTTCATTGGAACCTTCGAAACGAGAGTGATGGGGGCACGGAGCCAAAGCCGCTGTTTCCCTCCTGCCCCTCACGGGAACTGTACAGCTGTGTCCCTGTGCCAGGGCTGCAGCCACCCAGCCTCGGTGAGCGGCCCCAAGGCCAAGGGCATGAGAAAGAGGCATGGCTGAGAAGGCAGGAGGGAGAACAGTCATAGGGGGAAAAGCTCTGGTTTTGCTACAGCAAGGTATCCCCTAACACCTGTGGGAGCAGGGCTGTTCCCACCACGTTACAACATGTGTACCAGCTCCTCCGACTCGACGGAAGACACCCCTGGCAGATGACGAAGGAGGATCGGTGCTGCTGGGGAGCTGCTGATACTGGAGGATTTCCAGATGTCCTCCGTTTCCCATCCCATCTCTGTCCTCCGAGCAGGAGGTGCAGAAAGCAGAGGACCCAGCAAATCTGCGTGCCCTGGAGAACCAGTGGGTCCCCGCTCTCCTGGACGTACAGATGGGAGAGGAAAACAAAAGTGACACGTTCAGAGCCCAAAGAGCAACGAGCTGAGCCCAGGCAGGAACCAAAGTCTTCCCAAGGGTTTCCAGCGCTTACTCCTCTGCACCCGCTGGCTTTCACCGATCGTCTTCCCCCATCCTCAGGCCCTCCCGATGTGAGAAAAGAGCCGGGGGCTTCTCACAGGCAGAAGTGGCAGGATTTAGAGCTATAAATTGCTCAAGTTTTATTTCCTGCCCTAAGAGGTTTCTATTTATGCAGATACACAAAGGCCTCAGAACATTCCCACAATCTCTTACTGTTATTTACTGAATACCATCGGCATGCTTAGTGCCGTACAATACACAGAGGAGAACACGCTACTGCCACAAGGGACTTACAGTCTAAATCAGACAGACCAACTATAGTCACAAAGGCTGTCTGAAGATCTGACCCTGGGAAAGGTGGACGTGTGGGAGAGGGCTGTATTCCACCGCATGCTTCTGCACCAGACCGGCACCAAACAGCCAGCGGAGGCACTGGGGGAAGGGGACATCTGAACCTGGAGGGGAGAAGGCTGCTGAGAGGTCTACTGACAAAGGTGCAAGGATGAAAAAGAGCAAAAGTGAGCAGGCACACACAGAAGCAAGAAGAAATGAGGCTGGGCTGGGCTCGGAGGACAGGAACAGAAGCTTGAGCTAAATGCAAAGCAAGATTGAGTTGGCCAGCAAAAGGATGCCAGCTGGAACAGCAGGAAATAAGGAGGCTCCTCTGTTTCCAAAAGCACATTTCTCCCTCTTCCTAAGGGGGAGAACCACCTCGGCTCTGAACTGTGTAACACTTCTGCACAAGAGCCAAAATCCCCAGCGGAGCCGGGAAGTAGCAGCCATGGGACTTGGGGCACAGCAGAGCAACAGCAGGCTTCAGGCTCGCGACTCCAGCACTTCTGCCCACGAAATTCCTCTGCAGAGAGGACAAGAACCTCAAAGTACCAGAGATTAACCATTCTGCAGAGCGGGATTTAGAGGCTGCCATGGGCCTCCTGCTGCACCGCTACCACACACCAGGCACTTACGATTTCCCTCTCGGTCAAGGGTTTGTCCCTCTAGATAGCGAGTACCTACCGCAAGTCAGAAATATACAGTTGTCAACGGGGTCTCACAGGACCAAGGCACGTTTGTAGCCCAGGTCGGCAGCCAGCAGCAGAAGACAAAGTGTCACAGTAGCCATTCATAAAGCAAGTTTCAAATGTGTGCACCAAAGCAGCCGGCTGCTCCTGGCCGCACGAGGACCTTACCTGCTGCTCAAAGAGAAGGGTGTTCAGCGCCTGTCTGCACGGGAGAATCATCATCGGAAACCCCACAGCTACCGACATCATGAATCCCACTCGAATCATCTCCGTCACAAGGTTGGAAGGGAAGTTCATTAGGACGTTCCCAGCAATGGCTTCGGTGTAACTCACGTAGCCAAAGAAGCCCACCTGTCCGGCAGGAGCGGAGGTGAGCGGATGGGGTTTGACTCCAAAGCACGTTCATATCTGCTCTTTACAAAAGGGTGGAGGTCAGCGACCTCCCATGATTAGGGCCAGCCAGCCAAGGAGGGAGTGTGGGGCCACCTCCACAGGCAGCCTTCCAGCAGCCCCAGCTGCAGCACCCCCACGAGTTGGGACGGGCAGTTAACGAACCTAAAAGCAGAGGCAGGTTTCTCACTAAATACAGGGGGTTTTAAGGAAGGGCTTCGCAGCGCGGGAACGCTGCCACTGCCCGTGGCACAGAGCAGTGACACCCTGCTTGCTGCCAGCCCCATGGACTGGCCCTCTCTGATGAAGGAGGGGCCATAACGATTCCCCACAGCAGCCTAGCTCACAGGGAAAGGCTCTTCTCAGGAATTATTAACTCAGTTTTATTAACTGGTGCTTTATGAGGCATAACCTTCTTCACATCTTTCCAGCTGCAACAGGCTGAAAGCAGCTCTCCTAAACTCTGGGCAGCATCCCCAGCTAGAGGCCAGGCCCTGGAAGGCAGACAGCAGGCTGATGCACATGGAAGAGCTGGGTATTCGCTCTGCCTCCACCCAAGGAAACGTGCCATGCTGAAAACCTGGACTCTCCAAATGCCTCCTGCACTGTTCGGTTCATCATCTCCCATCTAATTTTGCTTTCAGCAAAACGACATATCTTTCAGAATAAATACAGATAAGCAGAAACCAGTCCCAACTGAAGATAAATCATCATCCCTGTTGCCCCTCCAGAGCATGACTTCTGGCAAGGAAAGAGAAGGGGAAGTGTCTTACCGTAATGTAAAAGGTGGTGACCACGTTTAGGGAAGAAGCAAATATGGAGCTCATGATTTTAACAGACGGCTCGTCCAAGCTATCATAGGTAGGCAAGACCTGACTGTAGAAAAGGGGAAATTATTTAAGGAAACCTTCTGCAGAGAGAGAGAAAAACCCAACTCCAGCACGTTCTCTGCCTCAGCCCAGCAGCAAAGAATCCCTGACACCTTCCCCCTATGGAGCATAAACACTCGCTGCTATTCCACAATTTATATTGCTAATGCCAAGAGATTTCAGAACACTCATAACTTTAAGTGTTGCAAAAATATTCCTGCTCTCCCCACCCCACCACGTGGAGCTAAACGTGTGATGTAAACATTTTGGTTCAAAAGTGTTGCAAAATGAATGACCGTTTGTTCCAGTGAAACACCAGTGGCACCAGGCCAGGCAGCGCATTGGAGATTATTGTTCTTGGAGCTCTGTATGCTGATAATTAAAGCAACGCAGTGTTTACAGAGTAAAAGCAGGAAGAAGGTTAGAGCATCACACTGTCTAAAAGAAAAGTTAAACAAACAAAACTAAATGCAGCGCCTGTCATATTTCAGCACTGCTGCTCGAGCTCAGTTCATAGAAAGCTGGGAGCACCAATTACACGGGATTTGGGGTATTTACAGACTTGGAAAGCATGTGAAATGTACTCTTTGACATCAGGTGCATATTTTAGCAACTCATTAACCTCTTGTTATTTTAATTCAAGTGGCTACATCCTGGCTTCATGTTACTGAAGTAACTCTCCTGAGAAGGCGGGGAGCATCCAGTTAGATGGGAAGGGGTATCCCCAGCTCCAGTGGGCACAAAGCCCTCAACAGAAAGTGTGTCAAGCTGAGGCCAAGCAGAAAAATCCTTAACCCTTAATCCCTTAACATCAAATGGTTCTGCACAAAGGAAGCTGAGCACATCAGCTCGCAGGAACCCGCGAGACGCGCAGGGTCTGCGAACGCAGCACCGTGGCAGTCATTTACCGGCAGGGAGCGAGGAGACCGGCTTCCCCAGGAAGTCTCCCCATTTTGGGTTCCCCCCTGCCCTCGATGCAGTGACCTCCACTAGATTAACTGACTATGTCCCGGACTTCAGCCCCACAAGGGGAAGGGGGCCAGCCAAACATCCAGGCCCAGGAAGGAGAAGAAAGGAGGGAAGCAGAGAGGCTCTGCAGTGCATGGGCTGGCACAGCCAGGCCAGGTTCGTGTTAGTGCAGGAGCACCAGCAGTGATGCGAGGGAGAGTGCCATGCAAAGCCCACCTGCCCCCAGGCCTCCTGCCATCACCTAATGGTACCCGCTGGGTCAACTGGGGTTTGGAGGACCAGCACAGTGTCCCTCAAGCCCCCACGACATGCTGCTGGGCCCTCCTGACCATCACCACCTCTCAAGGCAGGGCAAAAGGACAAGAAGTGTGCAACAGGCAGCATGTCCTGACACGCCCGGGGTTTATTTTTAAGTGAAATGACTGCACTGAAGGATCAGGAATCCTTCCCTGCGTTATCTGTTACACTGCACCTCAAAGAGGGCACAAGCAGATGGTCTCTCCTGAGCAGGCAAGTCAGCACAAGCGTTAAGAGTAGCCTCGGAGAAAGCAGCCTTGCTTCAGAGATAGCCAGAGCTACCTCAGAGTATCTGTTCTTCACCTTCGCTGTAGGAACCACCTTGTACAGGCTCTCTGAGCGCAGCAGTAACTCAGCCAGCAGGGAACTGATGGTTGCAGAGGCAATGAACAACGATCTTACTTCTATTATCCCCGTGAATTTGGCATTTTTGCATCCATCTGCACCAGAATAGCCACCTCCAGAAATTAGAAGTTTTCTCCTGGAAAGCTTTACTGACTCCTCTTTAATTAGAGGGTTCAGTGACTTGACCAAGGTCATGCAAGGAGGCTGCAGCAGAGGTGGAGTCCTCACACCCCCAGCTCTCAGCTCCACAGCAAATTTCCACGCTACATAACTGTAGAGGAGTGACCTACTTTGCAACTTCAGCAACAACAGGATAGCTTTCAAAGAGCGAAGGGTATTGAACTCACAAGTAAAGCAGGGTCAAGTTTCTCAAGCTAGAATAGTGCATTTATTTGTCCTTACTGTATGCTGCATTTACGTGCTGAAGGTAAAGGATTTCTGCTTTATGTTAGAATTATTTATTTTTTTAAAAAGGTGGTTCAGGAGTTAGCAAAATTAAACCTACCTAGCTGAGAATAACATATACTTACAAATATTGCCTCGGCTGGGGACAGCATATTGCCCTGATGCTTGGAAAAAACGCATAGCTTTATGTTCGCCTTGCCACGTAAGTGCTGTAATGGAGCCTATATTTAGGTATGCGCACACTGGTCCAGACCAAACACTTTCCCTGAATTTCCAACTCCCAGCAAAATTGTGCTGGGTACTGTGTGGCTACCATAAGAAAAAAAAAAATTGGAATTTAAAAACTCTAAAATGTTAACAAGGTAAAGCTGTAAAAGAATACAATTCCCTTCGCCAGTTGTAATGGAGACATTAAACAGCAAGACCGGAGCGTGTTCGGGTAGGAACCAAGCTGCCAAGAGAGTCGATAAGTGGAAAATGATGATTTGGATCTTGTGTGTGGGTGTAAACACAGCAGTTTGAACAAATTTTATCTGTCACATTCATTTACTGTTGGCATGCTACCCATTTGCTGGAACTACGGGGGGGGAAAGCCCCGACTCTGCCAGCCTTCCAAATGAGGATGGTCTTTTCCGTGTCCACATTTGGATTTACACTTCTATTTAAAGTCTGTTACTATTCTGGCCAGGCACGTATTGCTCACTTGCCATTCTGGTGCAGAAGGTAATGCTGCTAGAAACGTGAAAATAGCCCGGTCTGCCGTCACATCCTTCCACATGCCAACGGAAACCCTCATTAAAAGCAGGTAACTGGAAACGTGTGAACAACTCTCCAAAGTCAACGACTGTGCAATCTTGAGTATTCTCAAAGAAATCTGGGGAAGCAAAGAGCAGACGCGCGTGTACGCTACCCTGCAGGGGGCCCTGCGGCCATTAGGCGACACAGCCCCGCTGCCTTTCCTGGTACTAAATCATTCTCTTCAAGAAACGGAGGAAATTCATCACTTCTGCAGCTGTACCAGAAGCAACGTGCATTACACTGAGGATCTGTTTGGCCCAAATGATCTTGTGTTGCTCAAGTACAATAACTCCCAAGTGAAATATAACTCCCGCCCCCATCTAGGTAACAAAAGGGTCACAACTGAATGCGATGCTGTACTTCAGTGGGCTGTAAAATATTTTGATTAAAATAAAATAGGAAAACAGATGGTATCTATCCCTTGCAGCTCCTCATGACCCTCTGCCCCCAGAAAAACTCATGGTACACCACAACTGCCAGAAGTGAGAATGGCAGGTACTTACGACTGACAGGCAAAAGACATGCCGAAGATGGGGATGCAGCGAAAAATGCCCTCCCAACGAGTGTAACTAACTCGCTGCAGCCACTGCCCGCTGAAGAGGCCATGCTTGAAGGACGACAGCACGATCTGTAGCCAAGAGAAAGAAAAGGGGTTAAGATCCGACCCAAAATGACTTCATGGCAGCAGTAGTGCTAGTGCTGGGATAAAAGGCAGCATGTGGCAGCTCTGCGAGGAACAGCTTACGCTGTTCTCAGCCCGATCTCCATTAGTCAAATTCCCCAGCTCCCCACCCACACACTTTATTAAAGCTCCCAGCAACCTCCAAGGGCCCCTTGCAACCAAGGATCCTGGGGTATATTTTAAAAGATCTGTGACATCCCCCACCTTGTTTGATGCCATCACACATCACAGTATGCACCAGGGTGGAACAATTTCCACTGACACATTTAACCGTTGAGAATTATTGTCCCCAACAATTTCTTCTGCACTCTTTTTAAACACATTTTTAAATCCAAATGGGAAGCAATGCTTGCCTTGGAGAATCCTGTTCAACAGAGACGGACAAAGGTCCCTAAAACAGGACCCCACCTGCACACTGCTACTCCAGAGCCATTTAACACCAGCAATTCACCGAAGACAAGGATAAACTTCAGGAAAACAGGGGAGCGAGGCACCCAGACAAGGCAAGGGGAGTTCTTTTGCCATTGACAGGCAAACTGGCAGGCATTGGGTTGCACAGGAAACAGAAGGTAAATATGTCTGAATGCCTGTTTATAATATCGCCTGAATGGGGGTTTTCTAATCCCCAGAGATTATGTTTTAGTGCAGCCAACTCTCATGAAATGTTGTGGTTTTCTTAAAGGCACAGCTCCTGGAACACGGCAGTTTTGTAAAACACACATTTACAGTTTCCAGTCTCCTCACAGAGGCAAGCTCAGAAGCGTGACCCAGCACAACCTACTAAAAAAAGTCAAGTGGAAAGAATTTCCACACCTCCCTCTTCTTCCTTTTGTTTCAGCTCTTCCAGGCCTGAAATTTGGGGGAAACAGGGCTAGGGCTCCATGAGCAAACCACACCAACATCCATGAGGTGCAACTTGAAGTCATTGAAAAGCAAGTGGAAGTCTCCACCTCTCAGATGGTGCTATACAACGGGGCTTGGCCAAGCCAAACTGAGCCAGCTTTGGGTAACTCCCAGCTTACCCTACTTAATCTAAATGGTCAAGAACCCATTCACCTCAGTGAAGAAAAACTTTTCTAGAAATACCTTAGAACAAGTATACGCCATGTACCAGACTTAAGACTTTACAAAGCTTTCAGTGCTCAAGAAATAGAAGTGCTGGTGTCTAACAAATGACACTACTTGCAGCCTGAAAGACATTAACCATCAGCTGCAAAAAAGCATGCGAAGTACATGCTTGAGCTCTTAATGAGACCTTCCCCCTCCAGATTAGAAGCATTGAGGTTTTCAAGGCAAAACACCAACGCATGATGAAAGTCTTTCTGCTTCCAAGCACTCTTCCCCACATCTTCCATCCTTTGATTTAAAGTCCAGAGCCCTAAATTATAAGACACCAACAAGCAGAATAAACCACAAGTCGATTTCTGGTTTATTATTATTTGTGCCACCACAGTCCCTAGCATTTGTAATAGCTTACAGACCCACTGGCCAGTTTCTACAGCCTGCAACTCCCCACCTCCACCAGCTCAAGAGCACGGGCACCCAGATCGCTCATTAGGCCCAGGACTAGCAGCACTAATTATCAGGAAGGACGTTTTAAACTTGAGGCCTGCACCTGCAGGCTGTCCCAGCGGGAACATCTGCGTTAGAACAATAGGAAAACAGCATTCCCAGCGTCGATACTCACCACGAACATGAACACCGTGTAAAAGATCAGAGCCATGGCACTGAATGACTGTATGGAGGCCATCATGTTCCTCTGGAGGCTCAGTGGAAGTACAATGCACAAGGAGACGGCAAAGAGCAGGACTATCCGGAAACTGCCCGACACCTGGAAAAGGGACCCGCATAAAGAACTGAAGCACGGAGAATACTCAAAATATCCCACCAAATTAGCAAAGTAACTCCCCAACGCGCTTAATTTTTTCCAGAGTGAGAAACAATGCAAAGCCAGGATGGATTTCAAATGGGAAATTCTGCTTTTGTACATGTTTAAAGATTTGATGCTGAAAGCTTGCCATTTCTTTGGCTAGGTCTGTGATTAGCTTATGCAGTCACTGGGTGCCACTGTTGCTCTACACAGTGTGTGACAGGTCCATCCTGAAGTGGAAAGTATTTGGCGGGGGGGGGGTGTTAAATGCTAATCCAGCACAAGCTATTTAGGTATTTTCATGCAATTAAATAAAAACCCAACTTACTTGGAAGACAAGAGATTGAAGTCTTGAAAATTCTCATCCAGAAAATTAATCAAAACCTCACATTGGTATTTATTATAGCAGAGCACTCTGAAATGCTTGGAAATATTTAATACCTCATTCGGCTGCAGCCACAAGGCATCTTTTTAACTTCACAGTCCCTTAATCGGAGCTTAGCAGCATCAGGCAGAGCAGATAACAGCCCTGCCAAAAATCCTTCCACATGTCCATTTCGCTTCCCCGCACAGCCCTCGCGCCGGCTCCGAGTGCTGCTGCTCGCAGCTCTCCAGGAGGAGCAGCGAGAGCCTCCTGCCCACGCGCAGCACCCCTCACCACCACGTCTCTCGAGCCAACACCGGGGTCATCACACAGCTTATTTTATCTTAAAGAGGAGGCAGGCGCGCAGTAACTTTGGCCACCAAAACAGCAAGGGACAGGACAAAAGCCCCTCTTGAGCTAGAGGGCTGCAAAGGGGCGAGAGCTCAGACAGAGGAACTGTCTGTCACTACCTGTTAGGGGCAGGAATTAAGAGAGGAAGCATCGTCTCCTCCAGGAACCTGCTCCAGAATTAACAGAGACCAAGTTAAAAAGAATTCCTCTGCTGCAAGTGCCTACTGGAGGTTTTACACATGTGATTGTTTGCCGTATGTCTGGGCTCCCAGGACTCCATAGAGCTAAATGCTCTGTGCACAAGGCGTGCCATTAAAGCTTGCCACGAGATGACCCCACAATGCCTCGTGGCTGCTGAGCACGCCAAGGCAGGACGCTCTTTGCTGTATCTAAGGCGCACACAGCTCGGTGCAAGAAGAATTTGGACCACTGTCTGCGTTGTAGATGTGATCTAGTGAGGATTTATTTACCTGAAATCCAAGCAGCCGGGCAAAGAAGCTGGAGCCCAAATCACCAATGACAACATAGAAAGCAATGCAAGTTCCCAGCATCAGCCCAATCATGCTGCAAAAACAACAAATACACACCAGGTTAGGAGGCTGGAGCAGAAACCCTAGAACGCAGCTCCTGCTCCTGGATCCCATCGGATTTGTACTCTGCACAGCCCCTGAGAGAGCATGAGGCTCTGTTAATGCTAAGGCTGCCTTAGCATTAGACATTCGCCTTAGCATTAGGCACCTGGAGACACTGCCTGGGACTGCCGTAACTGAGCGATGGGGCCCCCACCGATGACATCTGAGCAGCGAGAACACCGCTACGTGTCCTGCGTGGAGCGGGGCTACAGCTCATACGCTGGGAGCAAGAGACATCCTACATACGCTGCAGCTGCTGGTGAAGGATTAAGACAAAGGTTTAGCACTGACAAGGTCTCAAGGGCTACACGCTGCACACAACCGCAACAGCTGAAGATTGCTTAGGATCCTACTACACCCCCCATTGCCGAGGAGCATCCAGAAGAATTAAACAGCTAAAAGAGAACATTTAAAGTGACTTAAGATCTTGTGCAGTCGCTCGCTTGTGTTCAGAGGTAGAGCAGCCTCAGCGAGCCTTGCTTCAGCATACCTCCACCCTCCAACACAACTTTCTGGCAAGTCACAGTGGAGAGAAGACCCAAATTTTGCTGAAACCACAGTGAAAATGTGTTGGCAACCAGTAGTAAAGTAGGTTTTCTGTCTACAGGGATACAGCGGGCTGCGAGCTTGCTCTCACAGCCGTATGAGCAGGCTGTGCCTGGTGCCAGAGGGGAGGACCACGCTTTTACCCTCAGGCTTGTGGAGGACCAGGCCACCAGTTCTGTGTTCAGCCCAAGTGAAATAAAAACCAGAGAACCTCCATCCACACCTACTATCTTGGCTAGAGATGCAGCTCTGCTAACAAGCCATGCATGGGCTTAACTGCTGTTTGGAGCCACAGAGAAAACAAAACCTTGGCGATGGCAAGAACTCAGAAAAATGTTTAAAAGAATCAGCAAGAGGTTCTCTCAGCCCCACACCCCACAGCAGGAGCCTACCATGGAAGTCTCGATACCAAATCAGCTCTCAAACTTCTTTCCGTAAAATGGACCACACTTTAATTAAAAGATCATCTTATGAACTGCTTCTCCTCCCATTCATGATTGCATGGACCGCTTTCCCTCCCAGTTCCAATTATATAACATCCCTGTGGCAATTAACAGCAATTGCTTGCACGGACAAGTAACATCTGAGAAATATTCTGTGTATTTTTAGTGTTCTGCAGCAGTTTGCAGCTGGGAAGAGGGAAGGGAGCCAGCACCACTGACTGGCCAGGGCTCAAGACACCTCCACCAAAGAATCTCTGCTGGAAAAAGCAGCACTGTAACGATGTCCCATCGCGAGTGCTGAACGAGACCTGCAGGGGAGCTTCTACTTGCATTGGGGTCGTCTGAGGAACCGGAGTCTGCCCTGAAATGGAGACAGGGTTTCCCCTACAAGGCATCTCCTAATGCCTGGCGTCTCACAGAGGAGAGCGCCTGGCGTCTCACAGAGGAGAGCAGCACCCACTGAGAGGAGCAAACAGGACCAGAGCAGCTAAAGGGTGGATCCAAGGTACAGAACACTCTCCCTCCCACTAACTCACGGCAATCTTGGCAGGGATTTCACCCCTGGAAAACAGCCACAAGTGACATGCCCATGATTTCACAGCACACGCAGCAGAGTGGGAGATGAGTTCACTCCCCAACTTCTGTGCTCCCGCTATCTGGAAAGCGCTCCAGTCTCTACTCAGGAACGGGTGGGACACGCTGAAGGTGACACCTGCGAGCTGTGCTTAGGGGATCTCACTCACACTCTTGTTCAAACTCTAGGTGGCAAGGAAGACTTCTGGGACCAGAGAACACAGTAGGGTAAGAAATGAGAGTACAGCAAGGCCACAAGAGGCTACAGAGCAGTACTTTTCATTAAAGAAAACCAAACTATTCAAGCTTTAAATATATAGCAGATTACCTTGTTTCCACCAACATTTTCCCTGCTTTTCCATAGGCATGAAATGCTGGTGTAAAAGGAAAAAAAAAAGTTATAGTTAGTCAAACAAAGGTCCAGAATGTGGCACACACAGCAGTTCAAAATTCAGTAAGAGTGACAAAGGGCAGTGCAGCAGGAACCCACCGGTGTTGAGTTTTGGGGCTGCTTCCCTTGCTCACCCTCCCACTTTCTTTTTCAGAAATGCCCTCTGCAAACTGAAAACCACATAAGACAGAACAAAGATGAGGGAAAGATAGAAAGCAGGTTCTTTTTCTTTTTTTTCCCCCCTATTAAAAAAAAAAAAAAAAAGCAGTGTGAAGTACAAGTCACACATGGCAACCATTAAAAGAAAGTCAGCACGGAAGAGAAAATATGCATGTATAAGATGCCGTGTGGCAAAAAGTTACTGCAGTGCAAAATTTCAATCAAACTCACATTTTTATTTTTATCTTCCCACTATAACTGAACCGCCTGACGTTGCTGGATGGGAGATCTGAGATGGTGCCCAGAATGTTCAATCCCATACCCAGAATACCCAGTACTCACAACCCACACCAAAGGGCTGCTGCCAAGAGACTTTTTTTTTCCCCCCTCCCGTACTTGGGTTGTAGCTCATAGCAGAAAATGATCAGTAGTCTTTAAATCATTGTGTTTTTTCTTAACAAGAAAATGCCAAAACTCCACTTATATTTTTAGCTCTTAACTGGGTAGAATGGGAATTGAGACCTCCAGTTCCAAACGCAGACCACATTGCCCAATTCTGTCAGTCTTTAACTGTCAGTCCAACATGAAAACCGCCACCCTGGATTCCCCTTTGTCTTCTCTCAAGGTACAGCACACATTCCTGGAGGCCACCAGAAAGCAAACTTTATTTGCTTCTGGAAGCATCTTCTGCTATTTTAAATATTAACTTACAAACTCTGATTTCTTTGGACTCCGCTTGAGCTAAAAATTAAGGAAACAAGATGTTCTCCCACAGAATGAGAAAAAAGCATGGCAGGAGACCCACAGCAGAAAAATAAACCAGAGCTGTTATGTGGGGTAGCACCAAAAATAGCCGATGGCTCGGTGACAGACCGGGCAGAACAGCCGGCCCCAGGCGTGCTGCCCGAGCGCGAAGAGCGGCCGCACCGCTTCGGCCTCCAGCTCTCACCTCGTTTGGGAACTTGCGACGATAAGGGGAAAAGGCAACAGCCCTCAGCGGGGGGGTCAATCACACAACCAAAGCACCAGGGACGAGAGAGAAAGAGAGGAACCAGCAAGAGGAAAACATCCCTCCTGGAGACTGGGTCATTAACGGGCCAGGAGGCCTGCTGCTGCTGCTCGGTTCCTGCGAGCTCCTTTTTCACATCACGCAGAAAGGTAAGTGCCTCCAGGTAACAGCTACAGCTGCCCGCGACAGCCTAGGCCAGGGATGCTGAGAAACGGTCAGTCTCCTCAGCTGTTCTGAAGCGATGTTCTAATGAGAATAAGCCTTCAAATGTTACGCCAGTTGTCCCCTAGCTGGGGGACACTAGAAAAACTGGATCTTTTATGCTCTCAAGGAAGGAGACGATGACTGTAAAATAAATTGTATAGTCGAGCATCTTCGGAACGGGATCTCTAGCTGCCTAACAAGCTGGGCAGAGCTGAATCCGCTCAGTAATTAGAGAAGCCCTTTTAAACCAAGTGCGGTTACTAGAACAAGCAACCTGTGTTTCAGCAGTTTTCTCCGCAGGGAGCGGAGCCGCACTGCTTCCCAGGGGTGCAGCGTGCTGCTGAGGGGTCGGTGCCCAGCACAGGTAGCCTGCAAAGACCCAGACCACTTTCAGCAGCTGCAAGGGGAGGCACTAACTCATCTCCTGCTTAAAGTCTACCTGGGAACTGCACCCCGCTTCCCTTCTTGTCCACACATCTGCCCAAGGTTCTTCCCTTCCACACGGTACAGGAGAACAGGGGCAAAGAGCAACGTATTTTTAATACCCAACCCCTCCGGGCATGGAGCGCTGCTGAGCGAAGACGTCTGGGCTAGGTATCAGCCCGTTACAACCCTGGCTCTTTTGTAGCTCTAACGATGGCTCTCAATGTTCCTCCGGAAGGGACTGGCTAACTGAAGTTAATTTGCAAAACTTTCTTACATCTTTCAGCACTGCCAAAGCCTCCCACAGAATCAGCTGCAGGGGCTGCCAGGATCTCTTGCAGATGTACCAGAGCTCAAGCCCACGGTGACAAAGGCCGTCTGTGTGGAGCTGCTCAACCTTGATGCATTAGGATGCATTATAGGAGCGCTGCCTTTCCTCTCGGGGCCATCCCTCCCGGTGGCACCTCTCCCAGGGCAGAGGCATTTCTTTCAGCGCCAGCCTTTACGTGCCAGGAAGTTTAGAAGCATTACTGGCCCTCTGTGTATTCGAGGCCCTTGGCTTCAGAAAGTGCAGAGGATCCCTCCTCCCCGGGAGACGCTCCAGGGTGGAGGGGACTCTCTGTACTTCGGGGAAGCGGCACACAAAGACGTGTTGTAAGGGGGCAGCGAGAAGCAACCTGGGCATCTGGGCTGGAGTGGCAGGGACAAGTCGGACAACTACCTGAGGGCTCCCCCCTCCCTCCAGCATCACAGGCACAACCTCAGAGACCACAGAACTACTTGATTTTCTCTGTTTATATCCAGCAGATATAATCTGGCAGAAGCCAAGACATGCAGTCCAGTAGCAGCACCTCGGACACTCTGAGGATGGAGGAAATCCATCTGTCAACAAGGTCAGCGAGCGAGCCATGTGTTTCTTTAGCTCTTTTACCAATGGCAATGCCAGCCAACTCTCTCCTCCCTCAGAGAAATAAGGAAAACCAAGTAAAAGACGACTTTTCCTGTCATTTCACATGCCAACGGAGAGGACTGGAACCCAACCACCTCCTCCTGCCCCTCAAGTCAGTCAGAATCAGAAGAGAGGTCACAAGCAGAGGCCAACCCTGGCGCCAGTGCAGAGGCGACGAGCTCCGAGGAAGAGGGCTGGCAGGCTCTGCCAAAAACCCACACATGAATCTTACAGATGTTTTTATTTTTTTGGCTGCTTGGAACCTTGCGCGCTGTTTCCTCTCTGCTCTGCCATAAACGCGCACACAGCTCGGATCCAGGCAGCCCGAGCTCCATGCCAGGCTCTCCGCTGGCAGAACCCAATGTCCTCGGTAGCACACTGGGTGGGGAAGCTCGCGGCTTTTGTGCCGAGACCAATAATTTACACCAGACACCCGCCACGCCAGCTCCCAAAAACTTGGGTTTTGATCAGTCAGCGCGGCATCTCCTCCCCTGCCCTGCAGAGTCAAAACAATTCTGCGCCTATTAAGTTCACTGTCAAGAGCAGAATTAAACCCTCGCATTCCCCTGGGGACATGGAGCAGGGGGAAGAGACCGACAGAGGAACAAAACACAAATTGAAAACTACATCAAAAAACGGTTTGCTATTCCAACAATATCAGTATGAAAACTGTAAATTAAGAGGTCAAAGTAAAACCGCAGTTAGGAAAAAAAAAAGCGCCCTAGAGCTGAAAATTCTCACCAAGGCCAGGGTAGGTCCTGCGCTTGCTGAGACTGGCTGATTTCACCAGGAACATGCAGGATTGATGAGTCATCCAAGAACAGAAAATCAGCAGCAGAGCTCCCAGGACAATGCCGCACTGAAACGGGAGAAAGGGGGGAAGAGACAAGCGCAAGATGGAAAGTCAGTTGTCCCATACACCTTATCGCCATCCCTTATCGCCCTCGGGCTCCCTCGCATATTTCCAGCCACACTTTTGCCTGTTAAGGGAGGTCCCTCGACTTCAGAGCAGCCAGGAGAAACATGACGTACGAGGTTGATTTTACTCTCTCCGCAGCCCAAGGACGATGCGGAGCAGCCACCTGTTTCCCACAGCCTCCAGCTGCACCAATTTAAGCACTGAAGAGCAAACTGGGAGCCATTTGTGGAGCAGAACTTCCACAGCCCCCCCCCTTTCGTGCCACTGGGGCCCGGTGCTCTCAGAAGGATCACGTGGAGCAAAGAGAGACCCTCTCCTAACCCCAAGGTGCAAAACCTGTTGTAAACTTATTTAATAAGCACTATTTGATAGGGTAAACCAATTACCAAGCTCACAACCAGCGCTGCCCTCCCGATTCATGTGTTTGTAGCAGAAGATGTTAAACACTGGACACTTTCTAAGGTGACTTTAAACAGGCACAAGCGATGCCAGACCTTCATCACAGCTGCCTTTTTTCCCCCGCTGTATTTAAACTTGGTGCAGCTGCAGGGATGTTGACAGCTCTGGGAGCGGGGGCACAGCTCAGCGTAAGGGCTCAACAGCTGGTTTGCAAACACCTCTGAGCCAACCCGCATTTATCATACGGAAAAATTCTTTAATTTTTTTTTCCCTTTCTAGTCAGAAGGGCAGAAGCGATGCCTTGGAGACCTCACGATAAAGAAAAACACGCAGCTCGGTACAAGAGACGTCCGATCGCCGTCCTTAGCGCTTCCTTCACTGACCATCCTCT